AAAAAAAAAAAAAAACCATTAGAACCATATGCCAAGAGTCTCAAATTAAGACTAGGTCATTTATGACACCTCACCTCATGCACCCCAAATTACACGGTCCTACATGTAATTAAGATAAATTATGTGAATGACAACATAAGTACGAGGTCAGCAAATCTTATCACTTGCAGTTTTGCATTTATTTGTAATTACTACTCATTGATGACCTAAAGACATTGAATATAGGAATATATAAATAATAATAAATGGGATAAATAAGGTGATGAAAAAAAGATTACAAATGTCCGCACTTGGTGGCTTATTGGCCACCTCTTTACGGAACGTGTGTAGAATTAGTGAAATTTGAGATCAAATTTCAGGTCTTTTTTTTTTTTTGAAAAAGTTTTACATTGTTAAAAAAGAAAAAAATTACAAATAAATATTATTTGCAATTACTCGCTTGCAGTTTTGTTTTAAAATATAAATTGTTTGATTTTTTAATAAAATTTTAAGTAATATTTTTTATAGTATATAATTAATAATTAAATTTTTTTTATCAAATAAAATTATTCAACAAAAATTTTGTATAAAAAAATGCAATCATTATTCATATATTATATAATAAATAAGTATTAATTAAAATATGTAAAAAAATCAAATAACTTATATTTCAAAATAGAGAAACTAATGTCAAGACTTAAGTAGTTATTAATAAATTTTTTACTGAAAATAAAAAATTTTAAGTTCAAGTCATATGATATGTAAATTGAGTAAGGTAAAAGTTAGAAGAGAGTTATCTCTTATTATGTAATTAATATATATATAAAAAGTTACAACAAATCATCTAGGCTCTATATCAAGTATTCAAACTTTTATATCCTTCTTATGAAGATAATTTCTCTTACAAAATTATATAAAAGATGGAAGTATAATTTTTTTTATAATGGTTTGTGTAACATAATTTGTTCATTTTATTATTTAGTTTATATTATAGAATAGATGCACAATGATTTTACGTTATACAAAATGATTTAGCATTACATAATTAACTCATTTTTTATGGTTTATTAACTCTTGTTTTTAAATTATCTATGATATTACATGTATTTATTTATTTAAAATTACATTATATCAACGTAATATTGCACCTATTGTATTGCCATTTTTAGGTGAAAATAGGACTTAAATTCATACATATCTATTTATATAATGTTATTGTATATGAGAAAAATGTTTATAAGTAATATGGACATGTAGGTCTAGTATATTTTAAAAAATTAATTGTTTTGAGTTAAAAAATTAAAATAACTTTTTTTAACAAAAAAACTAAAATAAATTTTTAACAAAAAAAAACTATGTTGAAATTACAAAATATAAATCTTAAAATAAAGAATGAACTTTCTTAATATTAAATATTCCCTTATTTAAAGGTACTTATTTTGCGTGACACAATGCAACACCATAAAGGAACATATATTTATCACAAAAAAAAAAAGGAACATACATTTTTTTCTTGCACAAAAAAAAAAAACATTTTTTTCTCACAACAATAGTATATAATAATTTTTTTATTTTGATTGTATAATAAAAAATATTTTTTTTTAATTTTATACCTTACTCTATTTATATACCATATGCTTCAAATTTCAAAATGTCTTATCCACCTACTTATGTTGTTGACTTAAATAAAAAAAGGAACATACATTTTTTTCTTGCAAAAAAAAAAAAAACATTTTTTTCTCACAACAATAGTATATAATAATTTTTTTATTTCGATTGTATAATAAAAAATATTTTTTTTTTAATTTTATACCTTACTCTATTTATATACCATATGCTTCAAATTTCAAAATGTCTTATCCACCTACTTATGTTGTTGACTTAAATAGTAATTTTCAAAGATTTACCTACGCATGCTAATCTCATTTTATATTCTATATTACTCCTATCCTATATTCCTATGTACCATTGGAGGAAAGTTATACAGCTAAAAAAAGAAAAACAAAAACAAAATAAAGCCTTCAAGAATTACCCAGAAACCAAAGCAAAGAATAATTGTGCAACTTCAATTAAAAAAAAAAAAAAGAAGGGAGGAAAATAAAGAAAGGAAAAAACTGAATGAATCCCTTTCCCTTCTGATGCTCAAACACCCCCCAACCTATTTACATGCCACCTTCACCTGTAAAATACCAATCTTCCTTCATTTAACATGCTCCACCTCCTCCTACCCATCGCCACCACCTCCTCCTCCTCCTCCTCCGCCAGCATGCCCCCGTCAAAACCCATCTCCCCATCTGCCACCGCCACCAACACCCTTTCCGCCGCTAAGTCATCCAATCACCACAGTCAGAGTTCCCACCTCTTCTGCAAGCACTCCCCGTCAGCCACCCTGGACCTTCTGATCCTCATCCTTGTCCTCTTCTCCGGCACCTTCCTTCTCTCCTCTTACTTCTCCTACCTCTTTCATTCCCTCTCTCTCCTCCTCTCCCCACTCCTGTCCACAAATCCCTCACTTTCCTTCCCTTTTGTCTCCTACATTCTGGGTTGCACTTTTTTCTTTGTTATTACCCTCATTTCCATCGAGCTCTGCTGTGGCTCTCGCTCCAGGAAATGTGATAATCCTGGCTGTAAAGGATTGAAGAAGGCTTTGGAGTTCGATTTGCAGCTTCAGACCGAGGACTGCGTCAAAAATGGATCCAAAGAGATTGATAAGTTACCCTGGAAAGGCGGCAGCGAGGGGAACCCTGATTATGAGTGCTTGAGGGCTGAGTTGAGAAAGATGGCGCCGCCTAATGGGAGAGCCGTTTTGCTCTTCCGGGCCCGGTGCGGATGCCCAATCTCCAAGCTCGAAGGCTGGGGTCCTAAGCGTGGCAGGCGCCATAAAAAGTGAGTCCCTTTTGTTGTGTGATTGGTTTGATCTGGATTTTGGTAATTGGGTTTTCTGCGATTCATTGATTGACTGATCCTTTGTTCGTTTGTTTGGTGAAAATGTCGATCTTGAGTTTTGTTGAATGGAGCCATTTCAGTTGAATGTTAGTTGGTTTCTGAGTTGCCTTGTTGCTGTGATTTTGTGTTGCTTCATTTGGCTGCATTTTAAATGTATTGCATATGTAGATGGGTTTTTGGTACTCTGGGAACAGTGTCTAATTTCTAAAGTTCTGTCTTTGAAGATCGGTTCAGCAGATGTATAAGACTGTTAGTCAAACGTATTAGTTTTCATGGAAGTGGCACTTTTGCATTCTTGGTGTTGATCAATTACCAGTGCCACATGCTTTTCTTTCAATTTCCAATTGTTTTCTCCTGCCAGATTGAGCATATAGTGGTCATGTATTGGTTATGTAATGCAAAAACCATATCATGTTTTGAAGAGTAAGTACATGCGTTGTCATAGCTTTCATTCTTTTTGTGAAGGTATTATGACCATGCTTAAGTGTAGAGTTTACTAGGATTCATTGGCTCTCAACTAATCAGCTTTCCCTTTTTGAACTGGCTTTTTCTTTTTCGTAACTGTTTTCAATTTTATAAAATAGACTGATTTATTTTTCTTATGCATTTTGTTGCTAATATTAAGGATGTCAAACATTTATCATTCTCTGTAGTTTGATCTGCCAATATGTTTTGATGGCTTTTAGGGCAAAAAATGAGTCACGTTTTTTGGTTTTCAGTTTGAATTATTTAAGTTCAATAGCTCCTAATCATGTTAAGGTTCATGGAGAATATGTTCATAATTCTTAAAGAACCTTTTAGAAGAAAAGAAAAACATATTTATTCCAAGTTTCAGATCAGCACAGTTCAATGGCTTGCATGTGTGGCAAGGAATCTTTATTATGGAATAATTAGCTAAGCTTAGGTGTTTGATTAGTTTCTTATTGGGATAATTGCACTTTTTTGGGATAGCCAATTGTCGTCTTTCAAACCTTTGTTCGTGTCCCAGAACAGGATTATTAGGGCAATATGTACTGTTAGATCTTGTTCTACATGTACTTCTAATTATTATGGCAATAGCTCCTAATCATGTTAAGGTTCATGCAAGTTCTTCTACTATGTCTATATTTGAACTATGAGGTCACATATTACCTTCTTCCCTTGGGTTTCACATGTTATGTTAGTAGTACCTGTTGCTGTTTGAAAGTTCTCTATTTTAACCTATGGGACTATGCTGCCCTGTCTAAGTGGATTTGTGGAATACAAGGCAGCTATACCCATCGGGAAGAATTATAGGTTTTACAGCTAAGTTGGTTAAGCCAGTGGAGCTTACTAGTGTAAGTTGAAGGATTTATGAAAAGGAAAACATACGAAAAGCAACACCATCTCATTGTGTGGCAGAGAATTGATATGGGATTCACAGATAAATTCCTGCATAACAGTATCATTAGGAGTCTTTCACTTGTCTACTAGTCAGTGATGAGATTTACTGGATGTTTCTTCATGTGCTCATCCAAGATTTCCCAGATGTCTCAGTTCTACCTAAGTTATATCTCCAGAAGAGTTTTGAAAAGGTGTAGAGCATTGCTTACCTTGGTTTCTGCCCTTCATGGGTTATGACAGCTTCCTAATGGGCTTCACCTTCTTGAGAATGAGCTAATCATTGATGACTGAGGCATAACTCAATTGGCCAAATGACATTTCATAGGGGCCTTTAAATTCATAAATCAAGCATCAGCCTCAAGGTAGCTAAGATTAGAACATGGAAGGTCCATGTGATCATCATCACAGAAAGCTATGGATGTTGCCAATATTTCATGTTTAAGGTCAAATTCTTCTATAAAATTGACAACCACCTGGATAAGTGAATGCATCAGGATCTCTAGGTTTTAAGTTTTGACAATCATCTACTAACTATCCAGGAAAATAACCTTCACCTTGTTTCTATTGCACCCTTTCGGAGTATACTGACAGCCCCAAAAAACAAAAGGAACAAGGAATATTATGTTCCTATACAACATCGTCTAAATTCCAAAAAGTAGCATTGCTATTTTGATTTATATTGTCCATCTTTTAGAGGAAAAGCATATCAGGTGTTTGGTTGATAAGGATTTGTTAACCGTATCATCATTCTAGATAGTCCTGTTTCATTACTAGATTAGTTTTCAAATAGTCTAATGCCAACCCCTTAGCATTTTGTTGTTTGAATTTCAAACCCTAGAAAGACTTTGCGATTATCATGGTGATGAGGGTTACCAACCATGGTGATTTTATTTATTTTTGCCTGGAGTTTTTAATTTTGAACTTTGAAGCGATTAGATTGTATTGAAAGTAACAGTCTCACTTTTCTGTATTTTATACATCACAATAATATACATCTGTGTGTTTCAAACACTGGTGATTGAAATCAACCATGGGCAGTAAAGCTCATGTTAGCTAGGGAACCATACATCCTAATTTCTTCTACAATCATGTGCTTGTCTATAATTCTTTTAACAAAGACTTTGATTACGATAATTAAATCAATAGATTGATCCCATTGTCTTCTTATATTTCGATCTATGCTGTTCTTGCAGGAGTTTAGCTAATGGGACTCAAAATGGAGGAGATCATCGCTGATGATTCATGGCGGTTCTGTGACCTTGTCCTCATTATATATTCTACCCTGATACCATATATTCAATGCTTTTAAGGACTGTTGATTAGGAGGAATTTTTAGTTCTATGTTCCAATGGCACTTTCTCCTTCAACCTATCCATACCAAACATTCTCTATACACATTGTCTCCTTTTTGAAAGGATATACAAAATTTAGTTAAAATAATAAAGATTTATGGATTATGGAATGCTAAATGGTTTTTTTTTTTTTTCATCATAAATAAATATTAACCTAAAATGTGCAGCAATTTCTTGGACAACTAGTCTCTGATGTTGAATTTTTGTTAGAACCGAACTCCTGATAGATAAACTATTTTAACGTACGTAAAGTTTTTAAATTAGTAATTTGGGAACTTATAATAGTTGGGTTTACTGTTTTATAGTTTAGGTCACGTGGAACGCCAAA